CTATGCTGGCAAGTTATAGTCACACCTCCTTCCCACACTCATGAAGGAGTTGGGGAGGGAGTCAGTTACCCCTCCTACCCAATCAGTTGACGTTAGCTGCATGTGGGGGAGGGGCTAAGGATATATAAGCCAAAAAATGCCATGAGGCACCTCTCTCCTCATTTTGTGCAGGTGTTGGGAAGTCACAGGATCTATATTTGAGTGTGGACTTTCCAGTGCAGCTGTAAATGGGGGGCCCACTCTTCTGTAAATAACCCCCCACCGTATGCTCTGTTAAAATAAAATAAAAGCGAAAATAAATAAATATATAAATAAAATGCAAAAAAGAAAAAAAGAATCTTGGTGGGGACAAACCATGGAAAACCTCACCCAGGTGTGTGTGTGTGTGTGTGTGTGTGTGTGTGTGTGTGTGAGAGAGAGAGAGAGAGAGAGAGAGAGAGACAGAGACAGAGACAGAGAGACAGAGACAGAGATAGAGACAGAGAAAGACTTAATGTGTGTGTGCAAACATGTCTATGTGTGTCTGAAGGCTGAAAGTGGCAAGCATATCCCAGGAGAAACTGGCAGGCAGGCCAGATCCCGAGAGATCGGAAAGCTGTGTGAAATATTTTCTGCCAATTTCACTTCTTTCCCTCTGACATCATGCACGCTCCTCCAGTGCCTCATGTTCGTATTTAGTCCTACAAACACTGTGTGCTTCACCCAGGTTCTAGGCTACTTAGACTCTTCATAAATATTAAAGGATCAAAGATGGCCACAGTGTTTTATTCTACCCACCTCTGCCCACTCAAATGTGGGTTTTGCAATATAGTAGTTTCCCCTCACCCCCAGGCAAATGTTCCAAGCCATTCCTGGAAACTTGGACAGTACCCAGTATGCATAGTATGTTTTCCTATACATGTATACCTATGATAAAGCTTATAAATTATAGTATATAGTAAGAGATTAATAATAAGTAATCATGAAATGAAACATTTATAAGGATATACTATAATCAAAGTTATTTAAAACTTACAAATTATTACTGGAACTTTCCATTTTGTATCTTTGGACCACAATTGACTGTGGATAGTTAAAACCAACAGAAAGTAAAACCTCAAGGAAGGGGGGGGGGTGTCCTGTACTCTTGGTAGAAACACTGACCATTTTGTCCAGAAAAACCTTTCTGTGCTGCGTTGGGAAGCACATGCTAACAGTGAGACTCAGGTAAAAAGTGCTGATTTCTCACCGCATTACTTATTAGCTGACAGTGGTGCTCTGGTTAGCTGTTGCTGAAAAACAATTGCACCTCCAGAAAGCCCAGTGGAATTACATTTCCAAGATGAGATCAAACAGACCTCCTGCTTAGAATCAGTGCCTCCCTCAGAGAGGAAATGCCATTGGAGATGAAAAGGAGTTATATTTCAGCTCAGAAGCCAGCCTGGGGAAGCCCACCCGGTGCTCAAAGCTCAGCTCTCACTTTTCCAAAAAAAAAAAAACCCAAAAAACAACAAAGTTTAGAATTCAGTGGGGTTGGGATTTGGGGCAAAATCTAGACTCTGAGCTCTTGTTTTTGCATGTGTGCATGTGAGTGCACTTGTGGGTGCTGGAACACACATGCTTGGCATGCACTCGGAGGTCAGAGGCATCTTGGGTGTTGATCCACAGGCACTTTCCACTTCTTGTTTGAGACAATCTCTCACCGGCTTTGTACTTAACCATGTAGGCCAGCTCGCTGGCCCACAAGCTTCCAGGGATTTGCCTCCATTGCTGGGATTACACATACCACCCTGCCCTGCTTTGCTGGGACTCTGAACTCAGGTCCTCATGTTTGAGAGACAAATGCTTTACAGATTGAGCTATCTCCCCAGTTCTGGGAAATCTGAGTTTTTAACAGATATCTCATCTCTTTCTAATGACCAGGCAAGTTTGAAAATCCTGTTTAAATATGATACTAAATTTGTTTTAATTATTTAAGCTTATATTAAATACCTGTTTAAGTGTCAAGTGAACTTCAATGTTTGTTGACTGACAACATCAATTGTTGGCATGAGGATGTTGACTCAAAATTATAGTAGTGGTTAGCAGATATAAGATAACTTGACATTTAGAATTTTCCCTAAATGATCCATCAGGAGCTAGCTGCAGGCTCATGAGAGAGTTAGGTGGGATTTGTCAGTTACAGTGTCAATCATCTAAACCTCTTAGCACAGGTTTTTTTTTGGGGGGGGGTGTTTTTGTTTTAAGTGGTGAAGGAGCCCAGGACCATAGCCTTGCTCACCAAACCATCTTCCATATCTTTTGAAGGCCCAATTTGAGCGTGCTCAGCCTCAGCCTGACATTTTTTTCTGATTGGCCTCTGAGCTATCAAATGTGCTGAGCCTGATGCAAAGGAAACCCCGTTTCTAGAGTGAGGTGGGGGCTACCAGAAGCTGGATGCTGGAGTCAGTCCTTAGCTGATGTTCCTGCAGGCTGTGGCCAGCAGGGCATTTCAACACTTCTTAGTTTCCCAGAGGGAGGTCAGTATCCCCTTTACTGGGAGGGCATCCCCTCTTTACCAAAAGGTGAACAAGATGAAGTGGGGGGGCTGCTAAGACGGGAACCGGGGGGCTGGGAGTCCTGGCCCCTTC